CACAGCCTGAAAATTACTCTACACAAAAGGAACCCAGAAAAAAGCAGGTCTAGCTATTCTATTTCCACACAACGTGAACTTCAAACAAAGAACAATCCAAAGAGATAAAAGAAAATCACTGCATACTTGTGAGGGGAAAACTTCAAGAGGAAGAGATAAGAATCATAAACATCAACCCACCAAATACAGGACCACCACACTATATAAGACATATTTTAACAAACATGAAAAAAAAGAAATCAGCAACACAATTACAGCAGGGGACTTTAACACCCCACTCTCACAAAGAGATAGATCAAGTAGAAAAAAAAAATAAGGGAAGAAATAACAGAACTCAAACAAACTTGTGAAACAATGGACTTTGTGGGACTTTACAGAGTTTTCCATCCAACACCATATCAGAGTACACATTCCTCTCAGCTGAACATGGGACATTCTCTAAAACAGAACATATGCTAGCACATAGAACATGCTTAAGTAAACGCAAAGGAATTGAAATTATCCCATGAATACTATCAGACCATAGTGCAATGAAATTGGAAATTAGTGACAAAAGAAGTCACAAAAACTCCATAAACACCTGGAAATTAAATAACACTCTCCTGAACAACCAATGGGTCACAGATGAAATCAAAGTAGAAATTAAACCATACTTACAATCAAACAAAAATAAAGGGACAGCTTACAGGATCCTGTGGGAAGCAATGAAATCGCTCCTCAGAGGGAAATTTGTAGCAGTGAATTTTCACCTCAGGAAAATAGAACGAGCACATATAAACAATCTTATGCTGTACCTGAAGCTTCTAGAAAAAGAAAAAGTCAAACTCAAAGAAGATATGAAATTATAAACGTCAGGGCAGAAATTAATGCAATGGAGACAAAAAAGCAATACAAAGAATTAATGAATCAAACAGTTGGTTCTTTGAAAGAATAAATAAAATAGATAAATCCCTAGCCAACCTTATAAAATAAGGAAAGAAAAAACTGAAATACATGCAATAAGGAATGAAGGGGGTGAAATTACTACACAGTCTCTAGAAATTCAGAAAATCATCAATACCTACTTTGAAAATCTTTACTCTCATAGGATGGAAAACACAGAGGAAATGGACAAATTTCTAGATACATAAGAATTACCAAAGCTAAATGAAGAAAATATAAAAATCCTGAATAAGTCAATATCAGCCAGTAAATTTGAGAATGTAATAAAAAACTTGTCAATGAAGAAAAGCCTAGGTCCTGATGGAGTCAGAGCTAAATTCTACAAGAAATTTGGAGAAGATTTAACACCAGTTCTTCCAAACTCTTTAATGAAATTAGAAGGGAAGAAATTCTCCCCAACTCATTCCTGGAGGCAAGTATTATCCTGATACCAAAACCAGAGAAATACCCAACTAAAAAAGCAAATTGCAGGCCAATCTCCCTAATGAACATAGATGTAAAAATTCTCAATAAAATAATAGCTAATAGAATGCAACAAATCACCAAGAAGATTATGCACCATGACCAAGTGGGATTCATACCAGGAATACAGGGATGGCTCAATATATGCAAATCAATTAATGTAACACACCAGGTCAATATAGCCAAAGACAAAAATCACATGACTATCTACATCAATGCAGAAAAAGCCTTCCATAAAGTCTAACACTCATTCATGATAAAAACCCATAGAAACTAGGACTAGATGGCTTTTACCTGAAGGTGAGAAAAAGCCATCTATGATAAACCAATGGCTAACTTCATACTAAATGGTCAAAAATTGAAAGCTTTCACATTAAAATCAGCAACAAGACAAGGATGTCCACTGTCACCACTCCTATTCAATAGTTCTGGAAATATTAGCTAGACCAATTAGACAAGAGAGAGAAATAAAAGCAATAAGAACATGAAAGGAAGAAGTTATCATTACTTGCAGATGATGTGATACTCTACATAGAAGACACACAAAACTCCACCAAAAGGCTTATAGATTTAATTACAAAATTCAGTAGCACAGCTGGATATAAATTCAATACTCAAAAATCAATAGTATTCCTGTACACAAACAACAAAATGACAGAGAGAAATTAGGGACACCATACTTTTCACAATAACATCTAAAAAGATGAAATACTTAGAAATCAACCTAACAAAAGAAGTAAAAGATCTATACAGTGAAAATTATAGTATTCTGAAAAAAGAGACAGAAGAGAATATCAGAAAATGGAAAATTAGTATGTACTCATGGATAGGAAGAAAAACGCTATGAAAATGACCATATTTCCAAAATTGTTGTACAGTTCACTGCAATCCCAATCAAAATACCATTAGTATACCACACAGATCTAGAGAAAACATTCCTAAAATTCATCTGGAACCAGAAAAGGCGTAGGATAACAAAAGCAATCCTGGGAAACAAAAGAAAGGCAGGAGATATCACAATTCCTGACTTGAAATTATACTACAAAGCTACTGTGATAAAATCAGCGTGGTAGGGCAAAAAAACAGACCTAAAGATTAATGGAACAGATTAGAAGATGCAGACACAACTACAAACACAGTTAGCCACCTTACGTTTGACAAAGGGGCCAAATATGTTCACTGGAAGAAAGATAGCCTCTTTAATAAATGGTGCTGTGGAAACTGGCTTTCCACATGCCGATTACTAAAACTAGATCCATAAATTTCACCATGTGGATCAAAGATCTAAATAGAAAACAAAAACACTAAATGTATTGGAAGAGAAAGTAGGTAAAAACCTTGAAGACATAGGGGTAGGCAGAGAGTTCATGAACAAAAACAAATGTGGGAAATACTTCAAAGAATCAACAACTGGGATCTCATCTTATTGAAAAGTTTTTGCACATCTAAAGAAATCACCAGTAGAGTAAAAAGGAAACCCACAAATTTGGAAAAAGTTTTAGCCAACTACCCCTCAGACAAAGGACTTCTATCTAGAACATATAAAGAATGTAAAAAAAATCAGGCTCCCAAATGCAAAGACCTAATCCAAGAATGGGCATTTGAGATGAATACATACTTCTCAGATGAAAAATACTAATGGAGAGTAAATACATGAAAAAATGTTCAACATCATTAGTCATTTGAGAAATGCAAGTTAAAACAACACTGAGATTTCATCTCACCCCAGAAAGAATAGCTATTATCATGAAATCAATCAATAAGAAAGGCTGGAGAGGCTGTGGGAAGAAAGGAACCCTACTGCACTGCTGGTGAGAGTGTAGATTGGTGAAACCACTGTGAAAATCAGTTTGGAGATTCCTCAGAAAACTGGGATTGGAAGTTCCACTTAATGCAGCTATTCCCCTCCTGGGTATTTTTCCAGAAGAATTAAAACATTATACCACAGTGAAATATGTGCACCCTTGTTTATAGGAGAACAATTTGTTATAGCTAAATCTTGGAAACAGCCCCTATGCTCATCATCTGAGGAACAGATAAAAAGATGCAGTATTTTTATACACTGGAGTATTACTCAGGTATAAAAAAAGATAAACGAGGCTTTTGTATGTAAAATGGATGCAAATAGAGGCCATACTCAGAAGTGAAATATATTGGACCCACATGTATAAACATCATATTATCTGCCTGGTGTAGAAACTTGAAAGAGCAAGTACAACTCAGAATGTACAATACATGATGTGAAAGGGAAAGAAATTGCTCAAAGGGAGGAATGACTGGGATGAGGAAAAGAAGAAGAAAAAAAAATATATATATATATATTAGGGAAAGAGAGATGAATAGCTGATGTTTGATGATATATTGAAAGGAACAGCTAATGTTCAAAATTTTTTATATTTTGACAAATTTTGCGTGCTTTTATCTGGTAATCTGAGAAACTGATTTAAAGAGAACAATATGCAATGGAAAAACCATTGGTGAATTCCTACTATCTTTTCTAGTGAAACTCTGTATTATTTCTAATGTTTTATCTAATAATTATTTTCTAATTCTCTTTAATGGTTTGAACAACCTTCCCTTTTTACATCTGGTAATCTGAACAACATAGTTGAAGATAACAATATGTAACATGGCAACCACTGTTAATTCCTATCATTTTATTTTGAAACCCTGTATCACTTTTAATGCTCTTGCTTTGTTTTGTTTATGTCTGTGATATTGGTATGCTGCTATTGTTCCTTTTTTTTACTACTCCTTTTAAAATAAAAAAAAAAGAGAGAGATTCTTGTCCACTGAACCTTTTTATTCAGACATTACCAAATCCAAGGGAAAAGGTAAACACCCAGACAGTGGCTGAACGCTGAGCATAGCAGCTTATGTGTGAGAACCATTCATACAGTAAGGACACCTGAAATACTGTTAGGGTTTCCCTTATTTGTCTCTATCATATGGCAGGTTTTTAAAAAAATCTATTTACATCTACTACGTTTACCAACTCTGTATCTCACAATAAGGGAGACACTATGACTTCAGATAATATTATACCTGATGACAAACACTGTATATGTCCTTTTCTTAAGTTGAAAGAGAAAAATAAAGAAGCCTGTCGAATCCCATGTATTTTTGCCAGCTTTGCAGTTGGGTTTATCAGCTTTTGGAAGGCATAACCTTTTTGAAAAAAACAAAAACAACAACAAAAGAAAACCAGATTATTGCCTAGATAATCATGCCAGGTGACTTTTACATGTTCTTGTTAAGAATCATATCCTATGTTATTATATAATTTCAAAGTTGTTTGTATCTAGAATAAATTAAAATACACAGACATATCCCAAAGTTCTTGAAATTTTTGAGTGTTTACAAATTAACTTCCCTCACACATGATTTACAAGCGTATCAAGCACGCTCAGAAGCCACAGGGAATAGTACTCCCTTGTCTTATTCTGACATTTACAGATGAACAGTAGAAGCTGAGAACACCACATCCTCACCCTACAGATGTAGGACACACAAAGGACTAGAACTTGCGTTAGAACATCGGGTTTCTTGCCTCCTGTCTTCAGAATTTCAGAAAAACGAAGTTCCACTGTTGGTAAAGGAGTTACAGCCTATTTGGTTCAGTCACTTCTTTTGCAGATGAAAATACATCATCTTAAGAATTTTTCTGGAGAGAGCAGAAAGTGAGTGGAGGGGTAGGGCATGAAAAAAAAAAAAGAGTTAAGATGAAATATGTTCATGTACCAACTCTCCACCATAAATGTAATCATTATGTACTGCAAGCATGTACTACTAAAAATGACAAACACATTACAAAGAAGAATTTTTATCTGATGTCCAGCACAGTCCTTGACCAGAGTGGACAATTCTACGTAATGGATAGATGAAGTGAATTTTGTCTCTTAGGGGAGAGGAGTCTAGTTATGTAGAATTATCTAGATCACATTTCCTGGTCTCAAAGCCAATGTTTCCATTTCCTTCACTTCCAAAAGAAGATATAGTCTTACATTAGTCAAGGCAACTGCAAATTGCACTGGAATTATTATTTAGAGGCAGCTGTGTCTTGGGAGATATGTGTACCTAACCAGACAAAGAAAATGTATATAATAAGGTTTGAAACACAAACATTAAGTACTCCTGTGAAACAGACCTTTATTAATGTGTCTCAGTTCCTGTCTTTTTTTTTTTTTTTTGAAGAATTAAGTGTGGAAGAATAATCACTTCACAGATGACTTTCACTTGGCTGTTTATAAATGATGCTTCTCCTGAGGAGCACACTGGAGGCTGTTTGGACTTCTAGCTCACATTGCAGGAGTGCTAAAGCCTTGCACCCCAAACGGCTCCCTGTTACAATGACCACGATGACCAAGACATGATGCATCTGTGCACCAACCCCCTCAAGATGAGTGTAATTGTTATGTATTGCGAATATGTACTAATCACAAAAAGTACCTTTATTGGTCTATGAAAATTATCAGGAAAATATATAATCAGAAGTCATGGGTGTGTTCTCATGGTCTAGCTTTCTTTTTTTGTGGTACTGGGGATTGAACTCAGGGCCTTGTCCATGTTAGGCAAGTGCTCTACCTCTGAGCTACAGCCCCAGCCCTAGCTTTCTATTCTGTGCTGCTAGTTGCTGAATACCTTAAAGAGAGAGTATTTTTGTAACCAGTTCCTGGCATTGACTAAACGTGTTAATACCTAGATAAATGAATAGTCCCTATCTTGTGTCATTCTATCATTTCAGAGATTCTCAACCCTGGCTGTACATTAGATCACATGAATAGCTTTAGAACTACTGATTCCATCACCTGACCCCAGCAGTAGTCCACTCACTCCATTTTCCTAGGTTGTTTTGGATTTTAGTATCAGTTTGATTCCATTTTCCTGATTATCCTGGTATCTTTTTAGGTAATACTGCTACAAAGACATCATATTATCAATCACAGGCAATTAAGAATTAATATTTGGATAAATACTATTTGGAAATATATTGAAAGTGACATTTAACTTAAATTTTAACTTTAAATGTACAAGTATTTGAATATCTTTTCCTTCCTTCTCACTCCCCTTACCCTGTTAGTTAGCATCTGAGTAGATAGTAGTATTAGCTTTTCATTCTAGCTAGTGAGTTTCAGTGACCAACTATAAGAAATAATGTGAAAACTATGGGTCCTTCTGGCTACTTAAGTATTTATGAATGAGCAAGGATTAGAGACCTATTAAGGAAAAGGAAGATACATTAAACTGAAAGAACCAAGTATAACCCCGGGGCCTGAGAGCAGAAAGAGAGTTGGATGTAGGACTTCTGCCTCACACATGATAATCTCAGCTCAACAAGGAGAGTCTATGAGGATGTCTTTCAGAACAGCTGCAGAGTCCTGCAGCATTTTAGTAGAGCAAAGCAAAGTTCAAGTTTAGCAACTAAACAAAGGTGGTTCCTCCCATTGGGAGTTGGCTAGCCTGGCCACGAAATGGCCTCTGCAGTTGTCTGAAACATACAGACTCTCACTCTTTTCCTCCACACCAGGGTATTATTTTCACACCAGGCTATCTGAGAGCAATTTATTACAAGCACACACCTCCATGGCCAATCAGTGACAGTAGCCTGCACAATAGCTCTACATAAAAGGATTCATCTATAGTAATGACTTTCAAACATACTCATAAATTCTTGACCAGAATATTCTTGTGCCATTCACACAATTTGCTTATGACAAAGCACACTTTGGTACAATTCCCTTCAAATTTAGCATTCGTCTTGCCCATTTCCCTCTCAGTAGTTGAGAAAAATTACTCTTTCCATCCCCCATCCTTCCCAGGAGCACAGCAGCAAGACAAACTCTCAGCGTCTAATATGCTACTTCTTTTTGTCAGCTACATCTTCTTTGTGAGTCTCATTTTCTGCAGCTTTAAACCGCACTGACAGGAGGAGAAGTGGACACAACACATTACCTCGACCACTGTTTTCTTATAGAGATGAGCTCGTTTTCTGTACCACAGTGTTTACTGAGTCTTAGGGAATTTCAACAAATTTTTTCTGCTAGTGTGCTATGGATTTGGGATCCAATCATAGTCTGATTGAAGATGCTCATGCTCTGCATTTCCTACTCAGAAAATAACGCCTGTTCCCAAAGGAGGCAGGGTGCTCTCCATCTGCACGCATCTCAGGTGAGTCATGAGCTCTGTCACAGAACCTAACAGCCCGCTGCCAGTGCTTCATTTTAGAGGGGAAGAATAAATAGCAGCTGCACCTGTCAAGTTCCTTCCAAAGAGCCTAATGTAAATGAAGGCGATTTTCCTAGAAGACTGTCTTTAATGAGTTCAAAAGAGTTCTATAATAATGGTTGGATTTACATTCTTCTTTAGCATCTCTTACCTGGAGTCCAGATCCAGACACTGAGCTAAGGAACAGAAGAGCTTCCCAGAGGTGAATCCTAAGATGTAAATTGGATGCAAAGACTAAGAAATGTGAACAGATTGAACAAACAGATTGACTCTCAAGGACAAAGCTTGAATTTATATATCCTGGAATCACAGCACCATGAGTTTGTAAAGTTAACTAAATCTTAACTTTCTGCAACTGCTTTCTATATCAAGGTCTTCCACATTCAGGGGACAATAAACAATTTAACTCTTTAATCACTAACCCTCAATTAAAAAGGGAAGAAACATGAATCCTTCATTTACCGACCTTCTCTGATATGTTCAATTCCTCCATACCCACTTCTACAGGCCATTAAAACACACACATGGAAGAGAGTCAAGGATTGAAAAATAATTGTAGCAGGCTGGCAAACTGGCTTATAAGTAATTTAAAAGCTCTACTTCCTAAATTATCTTGGACATAAGAATTTTTGACTTGTACTTTTGAAAATGTTTGATTTCATATTTTTCCAGCTTTGGAAACTTTAGCTACTATAATAAAAATAGGTACATTCAAGAGAGAAAATTATATTTTTTGTATATTTCTGTCCTTTCAATTATAGAAGTATTTCCATAATGATTATCTCCAATCAGGAGAACTATTCAAATCTAACATACAGTGAATGGAAACTCTTGCTCCTATCCCACAATCTACCATTGTGTGTGTGTGTGTGTGTCTGTGCATTTTCTAATATGCAAAACTAAAGGTAAAAGTGAATGTGTTTTTATTCTACTCAACAATTAAAGAACACTTTTATGTCCAACCATGTAGATACCTCAAAAATATTTTCTAAATAAAAGAAACCAGATGCAAAACAACACATACTATGTGATACCATTTGTATGTACCGAGGGAAAGAGTCCATTTTGAGAAAAATCAGATTGGTGGTTTTTTGAAGATGGGTAGGGGAGAGGAAATGACGGAGAATGGGGCTGCACGGTATTTCAGGGGTGAGAGGGACATCCTAAATTTTGATTTTGGAGATGTTACAGGATTAATATTTACCTGAACTCTTCACATTGTGCATTTAAATGTATAGTTTAATGTAAATTAAATCACAATAAACTGATCTGTTAAAACCTACTAGCTTGGTAGTTCTTTATCTGGGTTTGTCATACTGTATTAGAAATCTCCTTCTGGGTCTGCTGGAGAATTAAAGAGTCAGTGTGATTTATAAAGCAGATATGAGTAAAGACTTGGCCAATCAGGTTATCAGGCCTACATTAGGATAAAAATTGCAAAAAATACAACAGTGTCAATAAAGTAGAAATTATATATAAAATGCGACATCATCTTTCTCTGGGACATTCACTGCTGCCATGGGTGAGGTGTAAGAGACAGAAGAGTGTGATGATGCCCCCTTTCTCATTGGTACCCTGGGACCTCTCAGAAGAGACATTATAATTCACCAAGCAATCACGCCCTTTAGTTATAAAAACCAATGACTGCATATAATTTTCAGAATTATCTGATGACTTCCTTGTCTTGATTTACCTGCTGAAACTATTTACATTAAACACATTTATTTCTTATATATACCCTTCACATTATTTCAAAGTGAGCTAAAATAATTTGAATCCATTCACTGACTAATTTTCTAAGAACTATAAATTTTTGTATGGGCCTAGTATTTTGTATAGTTCCAATTTTTGTTACAACTACAGAACTACTTTTAAAAAATACCTGATAAACTTTCATATACTTTAAAATTCTACTTCATATTTATTATTCATTTTCTTCATATAAATTATGAAAGCAAATATATAAACACTAGCAGCACTTTTGCTGCTTAGGTAATGTGTTTTATTTAACAATATTCATCTATGTGTGTTTGTGTATTGTGTGTAAAGGTAAAATGATCTGACAAGTATGTGACAGCAGTGCAATTTTCTTTTTTGTCTTTTTGAGACAGGGTCTCCCTATGCAGTTCAGGCTGGCCTTGAGCTCACTTTGTAGCCTAGGCTGGTCTCAAACTCGCAGTGATCCTCCTGCTTCAGCCTCCCGAGTGCTGGGATTACAGATGCATGCCACCACTCCTGGCAGCAGTGCAATTTTCATACCATAAGATTATCTATCATCTAACATTTGGAGGAATCTTTGGCATGAAAAGATAATTAAACTTTTTCAGCAGGCAAGTTCACCTTCCTTTGCTGTTGTTACACAAAGGCAAGTCTTGTGGATTTAATGTAATAGATTTGGGTTCTACTTTTGAGAGTGGTTGGGAGAAAACTTGGCTTACTAGTTGCCATGGTGTCAATCTACCTTCTTTGCCCAGCCTCCCAAAATTTAGTTGATTTGTTAGTATAGGCATAGATTTTGAGGGTAGGCTTTGCATCCTATCCCTTGTGCATAATTTCCTTGATATAGAATTTTCACAAACATGGCTGTATACAATGTTAAATAGAGAGCATTTTGGTATGCTTGTAACTGGGACCCATCACTCGCTGACATTCTACCACAAGGCTATATTTAAACCTTTACAGTGACTTGCCTTATCAAAGGAGCAGTTTGGCATTTGGTATTTGGAGACAGCTATAAAGCTGCACCATCTGTACCACTCTGTTTCAAGAGGGATATCAATTTTTATTCTTGTTGGATCCTGCAGGAATACCCTGCTGAAACTGAGCTCAGGAATGACTCAGTTATAATTCAGTCTTCTAACTATGGCCAAGGGTATACATGGCAGACGGAAGCACTTGTGTTCACATATTTGGCTAAAAAAGAAAACTGTTGTCAGATATTCAACCACAGAGGAAGGAGACTCCTAAGTCATATTCACTCATCAAATATCTGCCTAGGATAGTGTCTTAAGATTCATATCAACATGCTTTTAAGGAAATATCCCAGACGCAATTGAAAAATAAAACATGTTTATTCATTTGTGGGTTCTGTTTGGGAGAGTCAAATGTAGTTACCAAACCTAGCACCTGCCAAGTATAGAAATTAGATGGGTTCCAACTAATGGAGTTATAGATTGGCTGCCTTTGCTCTAAATGTAATTACTTAAAGCACAAAACCTAATCAGGACATCAGAGAAACGCAGAGAAGTCTAAGGAAAAAAATTGTTCACCTGGCCAAAGAGAAAAGATCATTCAGCATAGGAAAGTGGGTCTGCAAATACATTAAAAAAATAGTAGCAACTGACCTTTACTTCCTTTGAACATACCAGAAGAATAAATGAGCTGAAAAAACATGTGAAATTCAAGGTTTGCTTTGGTATGCGCTAGTTCCTGGCTGGAAATGTTACATATTAGAATGGATGGCAGGGTATAAATTTTGAAAAAAGAAACTTGTTTCCTATTTGTACAAATTCATAGAGATCTTATAAATTGCATGTGTCTAATCAGTTTCTGTCACTATTCATTCTGATACCTGAATTGTTCCAAATGTGGCCAACAGGAATCTCATCATGTTGGTTAACATACTTTCAGTGACTCTGGACAATTATACTCAAAAGCAAAATGACTGGAGACAAAAATAGATTGTTACTGTGGAGAGATGAAGAAAGGGTGGTGTGGTGTGACTCGAGAACTGTCTCTGAATGGACTCCCCAAAAGTAATATGGCTCAGTTTTGTGAATTTCTTTGAGATAAAATTTATCATTCAGTAAAACTAAAACTTTTTTATTACTTGACATCTTTTGGTGCTAAGAGGAGTTTGGGTTTTTCATGTCTGATAAGATTTTAACATCATTTTGGGTTTAAATCTAGTAATTAGTTGATAGAAAATTTTTACTTCCTGGAGAAAAAAATAGTTTATATGTGTGTATAAGATATATATTATACATATATCATATATAAGTACATACTTGAAAACGTTAATTTTGAAAATCTATCTAAAGTACTTGGCACAATTCCTATATTATTAGTAAGAAGCTGAAAGCATGCATGTAAACTGGCATGATGAACTGCCAGAAACTCAGAGATTTGTATGCTTCTGCTTTTTACAGTTCAGTTAAATTTCTGTTATGGTTTAATCACAACAAACGCATATCCTTATTTAGAGAAGAATATAATTGCGCATGTGATTTGTAGTTGTTTACAAGTTTTCTTTCAGAAGAGGAATTCAATCTAATAGAGTGTAGACATACAACAGACAAATTCACATATGATACAGATAACTAAGATACTTCCAGGGGAACCAGTGAAACCCCAGGGAGAGGAACTGAGGTTAGCAAACCTCTGACTTCATTCATCACATTCAGTCAACTGACTAAACAAAGTGTCTAGATCTGCCTTTAAAAGCCACTGCTTTATGTATAAATGTGGCGGGTACAGGGACACAGTTTCTAAGTATCATTGTGTCTCCCTTCATCAGTATTCCAACGCTTCCCTCTAAGTACTTAAATATTATGAGTTGGCTATAAGGAAACATAAATGTTATAGTTTTAAAAATAGGTTATCCTAACCCAAATTTAAGTGTCTTAACTGTTCCGAGTGAAATCATGACCTTGGGCAGATGTATTTTTATAAAAAAAAGTGAAACTGTCTTAGCACACACCCAATATATGATATTCAGTCTTACCAAATACCTATGGAAACAAACAAAATATCCGTATCAGTGAGTATTTATTTATTGCCATGACAGAATAAGTATTCTATTTGAAAATAAAAGAAGGTTTTAATGCTTAAAGGTAGGTTGGGGATGAGATGACAGATCATCTGTGGAATTTTAAACTCAGATTCTCCTATAAAAACACAGAGATAATAAAAGGTCTGTCTTCCTGGAAAACTTCTTTCCAGGAGAGAGGGGGCAAAACTGGAAACATAAAGCCACACTCCTACTATCACTGGACAAAAATAAAATTCCTCAAAAAGTGTTTGGAAGCATCACTCGAAACCAAAAAGAAGCTGTGATTAAAAAAATTGTATGTGTTTAAAATCATAAATCATTACAGTAGGACACATTGCCATTAATCTCCCTCACAATCCTTCCACTTGGCTTGAGTACACATCCCATCATGCGTGGCACTTTCTCTAACAGTTCTAGAAGTCATTTTTCTGACCTGAGTTGCACTGCTGAAGCTGCTGTGAAGTCCTGAAGTCATACAAAGCATTTACCTTTCGTTATCATCATGGTTTTAGGGAAGAGCCAGAAGTCTAAAAGGAACAGATCTGAGGAAGAAGTAGATGAAGACAGACCTCAATATTTTCACGGGACCGTTGTGTGGTACTTGACAGTGGCATTTGTGGGATTATTTATTAGAACTTCTACAAAGATTTACAAAAGATGAGTTATAGAACTGTTTCAGAAAGTGATAAGAACAATGGGAAGAGTGTGCTGCAAGTGTGTGTGGGGGAGGCATTCTGAGAGAGATCATTGGCAATGTATCACTTACTGTAAATTTTTAAAAAGTTAAACATTTACTGTCCATTTCAATTATACTTCGTAGACTAGCT